AAGAATACCTTTGTTCAACTCCTGACTGGTTTTTCGTTCACGTTGCTAACAAAAAATGCGAAGTTTTTGAGTAAAGCGGTTTGCACCTTTGTGTGCATTAGGAATAGAGATAAATTTAGTTTCGCATGACCCATACGCAAAGCTCTTATTAAGCAGTCAAATTTCTTTTGTTCCTAGGTGTTGCAAGCAAGCTACTGTTTCTATATTATGGCTCCGTTATTTCCTTGAAAGGCCGAAACTTAATAAAGATTGTGCATTGATGGAAGATTCAGCATCGTATTAAGTTTCAAACCAATACAAAGTAAAACCAAACAAGCTCGTCGATATCTGCAAACTTCTGTTACACACTGGGACAATTTAGGTTCCTTAATAATACATGACAAGTACGAAAAACTGTACTGCGGCCGGCGCGCGGAAGCAGAACTGAACGGTTTGAAAGACCCCGAGAGATTTAAACATTAAAAGAAATGCTATCTATCATCGCTTAAAACGAGTCCGTGGCATTGAAACGTCGACCAGCTTTGAAACACAGCATAATATTAATTCATCCTGTGAAAAGTCAGAAAGCTAAACATCTTTCACGCATAAAACAAAACCATCTGTGGGAAGCATTAGTATAAATTCAAAAGGTGTTGTTCTTGTTTTTCCGCGACCTTACTGATAAACAGAAATGTTTAATGTAACATTTCTGGGGGCTCTATATCAGCATTGACCCAGTTAAAGATCAAAATTTGGATGACAGCTCCGTAGCATTGCAAACTGGAATGCTCCTTCGTGTACTAGCCAAAAATTATTACATCGCTATTTTTTCGCATTTTGCTTCGTTACGAGTCTTAATTTCCGAATTGCCATAATCAGAATCGGCGTGAAATCGTTTCGTGTTGTCGTAAAATCTCAATGAATTGTGGTCATGGATTAATCGAAAATTTTCGCTAATGTGCTTCGAGGATTAAGCGCAAATAAAGAAAAGAATTGATATTTCTTTTAATACTTACGAGACATGGATCTGCCGGCAACGAAGAAGGTTGCAACGCAACAAATAAGAAAATATACGCCGTACCGTGTGAATGTACAAGCGTTCATCATTTTAGACAAAAAATGGCGCGTTCAAACCATGAAGGAAATTTCTTTCTCCCAAAATGTCGCAGTTCTTCACCTGTCCTCTATATCGGACAAATCGTCACTTTTAAAGATGTCCAAGACTTGAGTTATAAGGTGGCTGTCTTTTGTCTCCTATTGGGCGACTCTGACACTTTGCAATAGCGAGAAATTTGAATTTCAAAGGCGAGTCAACAAAACGATATGCAAATCTCCCGTTGGCTCACGCTTGTATAAACAAGTTGGGAAACCCAGCGATCCTCGCCGAATTGTCAGGGCCAGGAGCTTTGGTTCGAAAATTACTTCGCAAAAAGAAAGTCTCGATTTTCCTAGCGTATTATTGATTGAAACTCAATGCATAGGAAAGGAACATACAGCTGTACAAGCAAGCTAGTACAATATGATATTTGGTTTTGTTAACTCCTATAGAAGGTAAATTACACAGTTAAAATAAATTGACGGAAGATCGGTAACTATGGAATCAAGATTGACTGGTTAATACGAAAAAGAGCCCCATGCCTGCTAAGGAACTTTATAAACATATCTGATGGGCAACTGAGCTGCAAAAAAAAAACGTTATTACTTGCAGAAAACCTTTGAATAAATTAATGCTTTAGTGCGTGACGTGTTTCGTTACGCTGATACGCGTTAAAGGAAAAATAAATTTTCGGAAGGCTGTGTTCTTGGCAAAGGTCTAGTAAATATAAAAAAAAATTCACCACTGAAATATAGCAGATCAACGCAAACTAGTGTTTGGCATTGAAGGATAAAACATGCCTACAACTTCAATCTTACTTATTTCATGTCAAGTGTTCTCCTGTTAGTTTTTAAGGGGGAGCAAAAAAACTCATCAAACAATTCAATGAGAGCAACCTACTGCCATTTAAATTCACAATGTGATACCTGTCTTGTTTTGGCTTTTTAATCCCTTTGAAAAAACATTTTCCTTGAATCTACTGACACCGCTGCATAACGGATGTCACTTTTTGCACTCAAAGGAACTTTGCACTAGACTAGAAACATAGAGTCGGAGGAACCTGAAACAAACGTTTCAGTTGAGTACAAGTTAGCTTGTCCCCTGACAGAAGCAGGTGGCAAATATATTTAAATAGTAACCCAAAAGACAGTTTGTCGGAACCGAGTCAATTACGAAAAAAATTCCACTTTCCATCTCTGTCAACTTTCATGTTCTACCGGCGAATGCTTTGAAGTGCACAGTAAGCTGTTGCCGTACCCAAATTCGAAATTATCCTATCAAAAGCCTTGTTCATTCTCCTGAGTTTCTGCAATATCGTTACTGACCTGATTTTTGGTAGCTTGTGGCATTTAAAATGCCTCATCGTACTTTTCTGGTTTCTTTGGTCTCCCTGTGGTGGTTACAAAAGTATCCTCCTTGGCTATTTTCTCGCAAAAAAGCCGTCCATTTTAACTGCTTCAGCCTCAAGCCGCTGAGCGGGTACGCCATGTATTTTTGTTTTAAAAAACTGAGAGATTATCAAAAAGTCCATTAGATCACTCCGTTACCGATTTCGGTTCGGTCCAGAACAGGTGAAACAAAAGTTAACTGTCCATACGTTGCTACCGGGAGTAACTTTGATGACTTCATTTTAAATCATTCAGTTCAAGCTGTATCTCAAACCTAGAATCGATAAATAAAATATGATAAGTGCCGGCAGAACAAAATCATGATAGCTATAGACCAACGTGATTAATTCTGAATTTATCTTAGAGAATATAGTATTATAAGTAGTAATGTTATTGTAAATATGTCGTGCTCTTAGGAATATTTTATATTTTAATTCTGAATTTATCTTAGCGAACATAGTAATTGTAAGTAGTAACGTTATTGTAAATAGTCGTGCGTTTTTGTCATGAGCCCTTGGCTCGGGAGATTGGGGAACCACTCCCTACGTTTACGACTCAAAATAAAGCTACCTTGCCTTACACATGATCTTAATGCACTGGGGCATGCATGTCTTTGTCTTGTTTGTTTTGTTTCTTCAATAGACTGACACTTTTCTTAAGACTGGAAAAACGGAGTTATTTTTCAACGTCCTCGTGCAACGGGAATATTGAAGTTTGAAACCTGTTTGAAGTTTGAGTCTAAACGATGTTCTTAGCAATACTGCACGATCGGAAAAACTGAAAATGGGCAAAGATCGTTGCCACCGACTGCACGGAAAGAATGCCAGTTGTTTGATCTTCACATCAGTCTCTTGCTAACGAATAGAGCAACTTTTGTGTTTCTTAACTCGTCGCAGAAACTGCCGACCAATAAATTAAAGAAATGTCTCTTCGAAATTGAGGCTATTTTGTTAAATTCGGCGTACGATTAAATTGCTCGAGCTCAACTGCTTACAAGGGATCAAGAGAGGTGTAGTGTAATCAGAGATTAACGCAAAGAGGCTTACTCCAAGGCTTATATTCAAGGGATTATTTTAAAACGCTGTACTGACACTCAATTTATGTCCTTTTCTTCTACAATGGGATCGCAGTATTGTTTATAATTCATTTAATCTAGGAAAAAATCCGGGGAAAAATTACTTAATACTATGTTTTCTTGAGTTTCACAAATTTACCCGTGATACATTGCCGACCAGCCACACACCAGATTGAGGCCAGTTTTCGGCACGCAATGCATTGTAGGTTGGACTGTGTTTCCCTAGCAACACTGCAAAGCAAGAGAACTGATTACAAAAGGAGGCCATCAACAGAGTTTGCTTTAGATACAGCCCGATATCAACTAAATGTGGTAGAGACCTTTAAGAAGACAAGAGAAAAATGTATAAGCTCGATCTTCCTGTGGATATGAAGGAAAGCGCCGCCATAGAAAGGCGGCGAAATCGGGAGTTGCAGCGGCAAAGTCGAATATTCAACGCCCGAGTACGAACCATCGGGGTAAGATTTAAGCTTACATAAAAGAAACTATTCTAGCTAGTTTGTAGTCTATGGGCGAAAATCTGCTCTTAACCCTCCATTTCTGTTGCTATACATGTATTTGTGTTAACTGGACATATTCCATCTCTAAGGGCGTCTCGAATTTAATAGTTGGAAATGAGGAAGAATTGGAATCGAACCACTTGTAGAGCTGTTGTTGATACCTAGTGCAGGTTACTGCGCCACCTACCGCCTTAAGAACTGTCTGTAGCTCGTCGATTTTTTTTCAAGATTTCTGTACGGTTGTATTTCCTTTAGATTGACCTAAATGCACTCAGTGAGCAAGTGAGTGACCGTACAAGACGCGAAGTTGAAGAGCAAAGACGACACAATGCTTTTGGTAAGTGTTGGAGTAGTGTCGATTAGTTGGTGAATAAAGGCACCGTTTTTTGGTATTTGAAAATTTTTTGCTCTCGGTTTGGAAAAAATTACACTGCTGGTCATGCCACCTTGAAAATGACAGTTATAACTTGTATAGAAAAGAAATCTTAGCTACAGTACCGTGGAGTAAACAATCGGGTGTAACAGTAGTCGGGCGCCCCTGCCTAGTTGTTTATTTCAAACCCCAAAAAGGCCTCGAATCTCCTCGTCGCTAATATCTCTATACGATATATTTTCACAGGCCCTTTTGCTCTACATACTAAAAGGTAGTTTTCCGACCTTTCTTTACTTCAACTCATGAAAATCCTACCCCTTTATAACAGTATATTAATTCGGTGGGGCATTTTGTGGAAGTACAAGGGTTGATTAGCTATGTAGGTTTACTAGCAAAAAAGTGACTGTTCTGATCCTTGATATGTACATTTCATTATTTGTGACTTTGGTGTAAATGTATGGACTGGTATGATTCCCACTCTATTCATACAGTATAAACCAGTCACTTTATATGCATAGTGATACTACATCAAAACTTTAGGTCTTAGAAAGCTGAAGAGTTCCAAACTGTTCTGTTATTAAGTCCACTAACAAGCACTTGCCTGTTACAGCTGCTGACATGACAAGAAATGACAAGATCGCTGCTTTACTTCAAAAGCGCCAAGAGCATGACATTCGTGAGCTGAACAAGGCTGTGAATGAGTTCCGCCATTCACATCAACAGCCAGATGGTCGACGAGAGTTTGACCTGAATGATCCTGATAGTTTGAAGAAAGACAAGCCAGCCAGGGTCTCAGATGATGATCCACGATGTGGTGTAGCATCACTTCAGAAATTTGTTGGTGAAGATTTGAATGGCAAGGCACGTCAAAAGTTACAACAAGAACAGGCCCGGTAAGTGCTTGTTTAACTTTGAGCCATGTGCCTTTGACATCTTGAAAGGGTTCCTCAGTCTGTAAACCTTGTCACTTTCATGAGCAAGGTATAAGTTGAAAGAGAATTCCAGTTTTCATATTGGTAACAAATGCCATTCAATTGGGGGAGTAGAAATAATCCATTTGATTCAAAAGAATAATACTGGAGATAAATCCTGGACTGCTACTGCCATCAGTTTAAAAGCACTCATACATTATATTATAACAATATCTTCCATTTGCAACATGCACAGTTTTGAAAATTGGGGAATGTCAGTCAGATATTCCCATATTCAGTTGTGCAAGGCATTTAGACCAATTGTGTGCAAACAAAAATATTTGATTGATTATGAACTCAGATATTGAGATCAGGAATAAGAGGTTATTTATTTACCTGTGTATAATATATTTTTACAGGGAATGGATTAAACAGCAGACAAATGAAAAGGACCAAGCCCTTGCAAATCAGAAGTATGCAGATCACTTGTATGATTTGAAAGCTAGGGAAATGGACCAAAGGGCCTGTGAACTTGCAAGTGCAGAAGCAGATTGTCGCCGTGCAATAAACATGGCAACTAAAGACGTGAATTTAGCTTTGAAGAGAGAGAGACAAGCCAAGGAAGATGCAGAAAAGCAACAGGAACAAGATGACAACTTTACTGAAATTTCTAATTCTGTGTTTGGCGACATGCTTACAGAAAACCCTGATGTGGCCCAGAGTGCCTTTGGACCACACAGAGTTATTACTGATCGGTGGAAGGGCATGAGCCCAGCTCAACTTGCTGAAATAAGGCGCATTCAAAAGGCACAGATGGACGATAAGGAGGTTAGGACAATTTATGTGCAACCTATCTAATAAATTGGTTACATCGGTCAGTAGGAGAGTTAGTAAAACTTCTGGTTAATTTGGGCATGATTATACATATATATCATACTGATCAAACCTGCTATGTTTCCTTTATAGAGGCTGAAACAGCAAGAAGAAGAGCAGGAAAAAGAATACAACAGACTGAGGCTGACACAAGCCAAGGCAGCAATACTGGCTGAGCGTAGCATTGAAAGAAAGAAAAAGGAGATTGACAGAGACCAGGCTGATGAGAACAGAAGACTGTCAGCTGAACAGAGGGCAAAGTGAGTTTTGTAAAAACAATTGTGCAAATTTGATCTCAGAAGCATGCAGGATGCATGAGTTTAAGAGTTGGCGGATTTGACTCCAACAACTAAAAGTCACCTCATTTATAACATTTTTCACAATTTTTTTCAGAGATCAAGGAATTCCTTGACAATAAATGTTGTGCCAATTAGTTACTTTGGGCTAATCCAAATTATTGTTTTGTTTACAGGCTTGAATACTTGGACCAAGAGGTCTACACTAATGCTCCTACAGCAGCGTACTTTATGCAGTTCAACACAAACAGTAGATGAGACATTCTTGTCAGTTTAATACATTGTAGTTACGATGTCCACTGCAAAACCTTTCGTTGACTTTTTGTGTATTTTAAAAGATCATAAATTGCATCTGGGAGCGTCTTGCTAAGGTTTGAGAAACTCAAATGATGTGAACAAAGCTTCAATCTGCAAGGTGTCTGCCATTTTAAAGAATTTTATTTAGTCTTCAGAATTTTATTTACACTGAATGTATATCTTTATGTACATGGCAATAAATTTAAGAAAATTTGTGACTTCAGAGTCAGTTTTAAATGTACGTGTTTAACCAACTCTGATGTAAACCTTGGGGGAACTCCCATACAAAAGTGATGATGAAATTGATGGAAATTTTAAAAAGAACCCCAAAAAGGTAGTAGAATATCATTTCATGGGCATAGCTTGACACATTTAAGCCCACAAGGCAGACCATAACAGTTTTCTTTACCTTTCCAATAATAATATGTCAAAGTTCTAAGAGTAATAAAATAATTACATTTTTTTTAACATTAACATATGGCCTAANATTGTTATTTCTTTTATACTTACGAGCCATGGATCTGCCGGCAACGAAGAAGGTTGCAACGCAACAAATAAGAAAATATACGCCGTACCGTGTGAATGTACAAGCGTTCATCATTTTAGACAAAAAATGGCGCGTTCAAACCATGAAGGAAATTTCTTTCTCCCAAAATGTCGCAGTTCTTCACCTGTCCTCTATATCGGACAAATCGTCACTTTTAAAGATGTCCAAGACTTGAGTTATAAGGTGGCTGTCTTTTGTCTCCTATTGGGCGACTCTGACACTTTGCAATAGCGAGAAATTTGAATTTCAAAGGCGAGTCAACAAAACGATATGCAAATCTCCCGTTGGCTCACGCTTGTATAAACAAGTTGGGAAACCCAGCGATCCTCGCCGAATTGTCAGGGCCAGGAGCTTTGGTTCGAAAATTACTTCGCAAAAAGAAAGTCTCGATTTTCCTAGCGTATTATTGATTGAAACTCAATGCATAGGAAAGGAACATACAGCTGTACAAGCAAGCTAGTACAATATGATATTTGGTTTTGTTAACTCCTATAGAAGGTAAATTACACAGTTAAAATAAATTGACGGAAGATCGGTAACTATGGAATCAAGATTGACTGGTTAATACGAAAAAGAGCCCCATGCCTGCTAAGGAACTTTCTAAACATATCTGATGGGCTACTGAGCTGCAAAAAAAAACGTTATTACTTGCAGCAAACCTTTGAATCAATTAATGCTTTAGTGCGTGACGTGTTTCGTTACGCTGATACGCGTTAAAGGAAAAATAAATTTTCGGAAGGCTGTGTTCTTGGCAAAGGTCTAGTAAATATAAAAAAAATTTCACCACTGAAATATAGCAGCTCAACGCACACTAGTGTTTGGCATTGAAGGCTAAAACATGCCTACAACTTCAATCTTACTTATTTCATGTCAAGTGTTCTCCTGTTAGTTTTTAAGGGGGAGCAAAAAAACTCATCAAACAATTCAATGAGAGCAACCTACTGCCATTTAAATTCACAATGTGATACCTGTCTTGTTTTGGCTTTTTAATCCCTTTGAAAAAACATTTTCCTTGAATCTACTGACACCGCTGCATAACGGATGTCACTTTTTGCACTCAAAGGAACTTTGCACTAGACTAGAAACATAGAGTCGGAGGAACCTGAAACAAACGTTTCAGTTGAGTACAAGTTAGCTTGTCCCCTGACAGAAGCAGGTGGCAAATATATTTAAATAGTAACCCAAAAGACAGTTTGTCGGAACCGAGTCAATTACGAAAAAAATTCCACTTTCCATCTCTGTCAACTTTCATGTTCTACCGGCGAATGCTTTGAAGTGCACAGTAAGCTGTTGCCGTACCCAAATTCGAAATTATCCTATCAAAAGCCTTGTTCATTCTCCTGAGTTTCTGCAATATCGTTACTGACCTGATTTTTGGTAGCTTGTGGCATTTAAAATGCCTCATCGTACTTTTCTGGTTTCTTTGGTCTCCCTGTGGTGGTTACAAAAGTATCCTCCTTGGCTATTTTCTCGCAAAAAAGCCGTCCATTTTAACTGCTTCAGCCTCAAGCCGCTGAGCGGGTACGCCATGTATTTTTGTTTTAAAAAACTGAGAGATTATCAAAAAGTCCATTAGATCACTCCGTTACCGATTTCGGTTCGGTCCAGAACAGGTGAAACAAAAGTTAACTGTCCATACGTTGCTACCGGGAGTAACTTTGATGACTTCATTTTAAATCATTCAGTTCAAGCTGTATCTCAAACCTAGAATCGATAAATAAAATATGATAAGTGCCGGCAGAACAAAATCATGATAGCTATAGACCAACGTGATTAATTCTGAATTTATCTTAGAGAATATAGTATTATAAGTAGTAATGTTATTGTAAATATGTCGTGCTCTTAGGAATATTTTATATTTTAATTCTGAATTTATCTTAGCGAACATAGTAATTGTAAGTAGTAACGTTATTGTAAATAGTCGTGCGTTTTTGTCATGAGCCCTTGGCTCGGGAGATTGGGGAACCACTCCCTACGTTTACGACTCAAAATAAAGCTACCTTGCCTTACACATGATCTTAATGCACTGGGGCATGCATGTCTTTGTCTTGTTTGTTTTGTTTCTTCAATAGACTGACACTTTTCTTAAGACTGGAAAAACGGAGTTATTTTTCAACGTCCTCGTGCAACGGGAATATTGAAGTTTGAAACCTGTTTGAAGTTTGAGTCTAAACGATGTTCTTAGCAATACTGCACGATCGGAAAAACTGAAAATGGGCAAAGATCGTTGCCACCGACTGCACGGAAAGAATGCCAGTTGTTTGATCTTCACATCAGTCTCTTGCTAACGAATAGAGCAACTTTTGTGTTTCTTAACTCGTCGCAGAAACTGCCGACCAATAAATTAAAGAAATGTCTCTTCGAAATTGAGGCTATTTTGTTAAATTCGGCGTACGATTAAATTGCTCGAGCTCAACTGCTTACAAGGGATCAAGAGAGGTGTAGTGTAATCAGAGATTAACGCAAAGAGGCTTACTCCAAGGCTTATATTCAAGGGATTATTTTAAAACGCTGTACTGACACTCAATTTATGTCCTTTTCTTCTACAATGGGATCGCAGTATTGTTTATAATTCATTTAATCTAGGAAAAAATCCGGGGAAAAATTACTTAATACTATGTTTTCTTGAGTTTCACAAATTTACCCGTGATACATTGCCGACCAGCCACACACCAGATTGAGGCCAGTTTTCGGCACGCAATGCATTGTAGGTTGGACTGTGTTTCCCTAGCAACACTGCAAAGCAAGAGAACTGATTACAAAAGGAGGCCATCAACAGAGTTTGCTTTAGATACAGCCCGATATCAACTAAATGTGGTAGAGACCTTTAAGAAGACAAGAGAAAAATGTATAAGCTCGATCTTCCTGTGGATATGAAGGAAAGCGCCGCCATAGAAAGGCGGCGAAATCGGGAGTTGCAGCGGCAAAGTCGAATATTCAACGCCCGAGTACGAACCATCGGGGTAAGATTTAAGCTTACATAAAAGAAACTATTCTAGCTAGTTTGTAGTCTATGGGCGAAAATCTGCTCTTAACCCTCCATTTCTGTTGCTATACATGTATTTGTGTTAACTGGACATATTCCATCTCTAAGGGCGTCTCGAATTTAATAGTTGGAAATGAGGAAGAATTGGAATCGAACCACTTGTAGAGCTGTTGTTGATACCTAGTGCAGGTTACTGCGCCACCTACCGCCTTAAGAACTGTCTGTAGCTCGTCGATTTTTTTTCAAGATTTCTGTACGGTTGTATTTCCTTTAGATTGACCTAAATGCACTCAGTGAGCAAGTGAGTGACCGTACAAGACGCGAAGTTGAAGAGCAAAGACGACACAATGCTTTTGGTAAGTGTTGGAGTAGTGTCGATTAGTTGGTGAATAAAGGCACCGTTTTTTGGTATTTGAAAATTTTTTGCTCTCGGTTTGGAAAAAATTACACTGCTGGTCATGCCACCTTGAAAATGACAGTTATAACTTGTATAGAAAAGAAATCTTAGCTACAGTACCGTGGAGTAAACAATCGGGTGTAACAGTAGTCGGGCGCCCCTGCCTAGTTGTTTATTTCAAACCCCAAAAAGGCCTCGAATCTCCTCGTCGCTAATATCTCTATACGATATATTTTCACAGGCCCTTTTGCTCTACATACTAAAAGGTAGTTTTCCGACCTTTCTTTACTTCAACTCATGAAAATCCTACCCCTTTATAACAGTATATTAATTCGGTGGGGCATTTTGTGGAAGTACAAGGGTTGATTAGCTATGTAGGTTTACTAGCAAAAAAGTGACTGTTCTGATCCTTGATATGTACATTTCATTATTTGTGACTTTGGTGTAAATGTATGGACTGGTATGATTCCCACTCTATTCATACAGTATAAACCAGTCACTTTATATGCATAGTGATACTACATCAAAACTTTAGGTCTTAGAAAGCTGAAGAGTTCCAAACTGTTCTGTTATTAAGTCCACTAACAAGCACTTGCCTGTTACAGCTGCTGACATGACAAGAAATGACAAGATCGCTGCTTTACTTCAAAAGCGCCAAGAGCATGACATTCGTGAGCTGAACAAGGCTGTGAATGAGTTCCGCCATTCACATCAACAGCCAGATGGTCGACGAGAGTTTGACCTGAATGATCCTGATAGTTTGAAGAAAGACAAGCCAGCCAGGGTCTCAGATGATGATCCACGATGTGGTGTAGCATCACTTCAGAAATTTGTTGGTGAAGATTTGAATGGCAAGGCACGTCAAAAGTTACAACAAGAACAGGCCCGGTAAGTGCTTGTTTAACTTTGAGCCATGTGCCTTTGACATCTTGAAAGGGTTCCTCAGTCTGTAAACCTTGTCACTTTCATGAGCAAGGTATAAGTTGAAAGAGAATTCCAGTTTTCATATTGGTAACAAATGCCATTCAATTGGGGGAGTAGAAATAATCCATTTGATTCAAAAGAATAATACTGGAGATAAATCCTGGACTGCTACTGCCATCAGTTTAAAAGCACTCATACATTATATTATAACAATATCTTCCATTTGCAACATGCACAGTTTTGAAAATTGGGGAATGTCAGTCAGATATTCCCATATTCAGTTGTGCAAGGCATTTAGACCAATTGTGTGCAAACAAAAATATTTGATTGATTATGAACTCAGATATTGAGATCAGGAATAAGAGGTTATTTATTTACCTGTGTATAATATATTTTTACAGGGAATGGATTAAACAGCAGACAAATGAAAAGGACCAAGCCCTTGCAAATCAGAAGTATGCAGATCACTTGTATGATTTGAAAGCTAGGGAAATGGACCAAAGGGCCTGTGAACTTGCAAGTGCAGAAGCAGATTGTCGCCGTGCAATAAACATGGCAACTAAAGACGTGAATTTAGCTTTGAAGAGAGAGAGACAAGCCAAGGAAGATGCAGAAAAGCAACAGGAACAAGATGACAACTTTACTGAAATTTCTAATTCTGTGTTTGGCGACATGCTTACAGAAAACCCTGATGTGGCCCAGAGTGCCTTTGGACCACACAGAGTTATTACTGATCGGTGGAAGGGCATGAGCCCAGCTCAACTTGCTGAAATAAGGCGCATTCAAAAGGCACAGATGGACGATAAGGAGGTTAGGACAATTTATGTGCAACCTATCTAATAAATTGGTTACATCGGTCAGTAGGAGAGTTAGTAAAACTTCTGGTTAATTTGGGCATGATTATACATATATATCATACTGATCAAACCTGCTATGTTTCCTTTATAGAGGCTGAAACAGCAAGAAGAAGAGCAGGAAAAAGAATACAACAGACTGAGGCTGACACAAGCCAAGGCAGCAATACTGGCTGAGCGTAGCAATGAAAGAAAGAAAAAGGAGATAGACAGAGACCAGGCTGATGAGAACAGAAGACTGTCAGCTGAACAGAGGGCAAAGTGAGTTTTGTAAAAACAATTGTGCAAATTTGATCTCAGAAGCATGCAGGATGCATGAGTTTAAGAGTTGGCGGATTTGACTCCAACAACTAAAAGTCACCTCATTTATAACATTTTTCACAATTTTTTTCAGAGATCAAGGAATTCCTTGACAATAAATGTTGTGCCAATTAGTTACTTTGGGCTAATCCAAATTATTGTTTTGTTTACAGGCTTGAATACTTGGACCAAGAGGTCTACACTAATGCTCCTACAGCAGCGTACTTTATGCAGTTCAACACAAACAGTAGATGAGACATTCTTGTCAGTTTAATACATTGTAGTTACGATGTCCACTGCAAAACCTTTCGTTGACTTTTTGTGTATTTTAAAAGATCATAAATTGCATCTGGGAGCGTCTTGCTAAGGTTTGAGAAACTCAAATGATGTGAACAAAGCTTCAATCTGCAAGGTGTCTGCCATTTTAAAGAATTTTATTTAGTCTTCAGAATTTTATTTACACTGAATGTATATCTTTATGTACATGGCAATAAATTTAAGAAAATTTGTGACTTCAGAGTCAGTTTTAAATGTACGTGTTTAACCAACTCTGATGTAAACCTTGGGGGAACTCCCATACAAAAGTGATGATGAAATTGATGGAAATTTTAAAAAGAACCCCAAAAAGGTAGTAGAATATCATTTCATGGGCATAGCTTGACACATTTAAGCCCACAAGGCAGACCATAACAGTTTTCTTTACCTTTCCAATAATAATATGTCAAAGTTCTAAGAGTAATAAAATAATTACATTTTTTTTAACATTAACATATGGCCTAACCTATTTGATAAGTGAAACATCATAATAACTAGTAAGTGAAGAACTTACTATCACTAGCAATATTGCTCTGCACATTAAAATTTTGCCTGGAGAACTACTCCTTGACTGGACAAGACATTAATATTTCTGAAATAATAAAACAAAATTTTAAATCACTTTTGTCAAAGAAAATAAAAAAACAGTATTAATTTCATAATATTTTCAGTAATTACTACTAAGATGTTGTTATCCACTTCATGTGAAAATTTAGAAGCCCTAGAGCTGAACTTCATGGGAACTATCACTTGCAATAAAAGCATGTTAAGGTCATTCCACTGAAATAGAACCTGCACTGAGATTTTTGTGAAACTTTGCCTACTGATTGTTTATATTATAGGAACTTATATTTTGAAATAAAAATGAGGGGTCCCCATGTTCGTTAAGCAGCAACAGCACCTTGTTAATAACCAATAAATCCTTATAATAGCACCATGATTGTAGTCACGATTACTTGCTAAATTCACGTTTCTGACAATTGCTTTTTGTTCTACACTGAGGATTAGTCCATGTTTATTTTACACAGGGAAATTTATTACTCAGTTCAAAACAACAGAAGAAAATGATAGGTCACCATACTCATTTGCGAAAAAATAACAATTTACCTCTATGGCGAGGTCCAGCTGTAAAGAAAAAGCTGCCATTTTTCAATGCGCGCATGCTAATCACGCGTGAAATTATGCTAGTAGGGATGCGTAATGCAATACTGGGGAAAGACCTTAAAATTTTGACATAATATTATATGGGGTAGTATTGAAATTAAATCAAAAAATAATAATAATTGCATTTTTCCCCCCTGAAAAGCTACTCATAGAAAACATTTTCCATGCTCCTATTGAGTTATAGAAACACTTGTGGAAATTTGGGAGAACAAGAAATGCTAGTAGAAACACAAGCCCATGGGCAAGTGTTTCCACAAGTTTTTCAAATTTTTTCAAACTTTCCTGAGTGTTCCTATAACTCAATGGAAACATGGACAACATGTTTTCTATCATTTTTAGAAAACAGCCCAAAACGTGACTACGACAACTTTTCTGTTCTCGTATGGAGTTATAGAAACACACTTTTAAACCAATCAGTGTGCACATTTTTTTTTTT